CACACACACACACACACACACACACACACACACACACACACGTCAGTCACCTTGAAACACGACAAACAGCAGAGAAGCACCAACACTGTTCCACTGCACACCAACCTGAGCATCACAGTCACCTGTTGAAGTCCCACTGTGAGCTCAGGAGCGATGACATCACCAGAGCGAACAGGCCTCCACAGAGCCGACACGTCTCACCTCCCACTTCTTCCTTTTCTAGAAATCAGCCTCAGAACAAGAAAAGCTGCAGCGCAACTTCATCTCAGAAACTGACGCGCTGACCTCATCAGGATTTCATTCGACCACAGACAGGAGGTACAGCCCACAGCGGGCCGACGGTACTCCGGCAGAACGTGTGAGGAACCCGAGAGGGCCGATCTCAGCTCAGTGACACGTCCACAGGACTGTTCGTAAAGACCTATTTTACAACTTACACACGATCCACAGAAATGCAGGAGAACGCACGTCTGCCTCGAACAACAAGAAAGATTTCTGAATAAAAATGTTAAAGTAAAAACACCACACACGCCTGACAGAACGACAAAAGTCTGAAGAAATCAGAAATTAGGTGCTTTCTATTTTTAATGAACTTTAATCACACTCATCCACGATGAACGCGTCAGTCTGAAGTCACTGTTTCTGTTGGTCATGTGACAGTGATGTCACTGTGATTGGGATGTTTTATTTTGGCGGGACAGCATTAAGCAGACTCCGTGTTGTTAATACAATTTGAACAAAGGGCCCGTTCTTCGGCGAGCCAACCGGGCTCCTCCTCCCTGTCCCACCAGAGGTGTTTGCTGTTTGGCTCCTGCAGGGGGGGGGGGATAATCTGCTGTCTTTCACAATAAAAGCGTACTGGGAGGGCACGGGCTCAAAAATTAGGGATTCATATCACATGCTGCATTTTAAACTTGATTCCTGACCTGTGAGGGAGCTGCTGATGCTGCAGCACAGCGGAGGGACGAGGCAGGCGGGCAATCCTGCACATGCACGCACACGCACACACGTTCATTTAAACACATTAAAGCTGCTCTCTAAATCCTCGTTAGTCGTTCTTGTAGAAATTATTCTTTGACGAGAGTTGAACATCAAAATTCAACGAAAACCAGAAGAAAAACATGAAAAATAAAATTATATCCAGAAAAACAAAAACAGGATTCATTTAAAATAAAATATATTTTGTGTCACACAGAAAAGTAAAGGTGAGAAAAGGAGGACATCCCACCGTGAATATTCAAAAAACGAAAGACTGAAACAAATGTGATGGGCGGGACCAAAGCTGTGACATCATGAACACATTTAATAAACATCCCCCGACCCCCCGTCAGCAGACAGCGGCGTGTTTAAGGGTCGCCATAAAGTTCAGAGGATGAGTCGGGGCGAGGGAAACGAAGCTGAGCGCAAATCGTAGGGGGAGGGGCTTAATGCAGGCCGTACACATACCTTCATCCACCTTCCTACTTTCTTTTATTAACCTCACTGCTTTTCTCTGCCCTCCATCTTTCTTTTCATGTGAGGCGGCGTAGCGAGCGTCCCCGACGGCGCTGCAGCCTCTGAGTGCTGATTAAGGATGAAGAGAGCAGTGCTTTCTTTGTTCTGCCCCCAGGGGGGGGCTTACTGAGGAGGGGGCAGATATGAAAGACATTGAGGTCAGGGAGGAGGAGGAGGAGAGTGATGGCACGGCAACGGACCAGGGAGCTTTACAGGACGTAAACCTGGACCGTCACCAATGGACAGGCACACAGCAGGTCCTAAGGGGGGTCAACACATCAGCCAGTTTACACACACACACACACACACACACACACACACACACACACACACACACACACACACACACACACCTGTAAAACACAGGAAGTGAAAATATTTGACGACCGAACGATGAAGAGCTGTCAGTAAAATCCCCCCGAAGTGGTGAGGCACATGCACTGGGCACACACACACACTGACCTGTCAGGGGTCACCTGCTGATCTGGGATCCGCCTGAATGCTGGAATCAGCTGACTGCAAACGTTACAGGTGTTCGGGCCTGCAGTGAGGACCAACAGTCTGAGCCTCAGCGTGTTTCTGAGTATTTCCTGAACAGTTGTGTGTTTGTGCGTATTTACAGCTCGTCTGCAGCGGTGCTCGTGAGCGGCGAGCATGCTTCGTGTTCAGTGTCCGACACATTTCAGTAAATTGACAGCATCTCTGTCTCTGAATAAAAACCTTACCAACATGAAACACTCAGCTGTGACGGCAGACACACATGCACACAGACACACACAAACACAGCAGAGTGTGCATGACCTCTCCTGATGTTGGATCGCATGTGGAGGCGAGGTTTATCAGAGCTCGCCTTCAGCGTTCGCCACATAATCCACAAAAACCTCCATCAGCCGCACACTGCTACGTCCACACATCTATGAGGCTGCAACCACCAGGTCCACCTTCTGGTCCTGTTCCAGATCCTGGTTCAAGTTCAGGTCCAGGCTCTGCTCTGTGTTTGTGTCACAGATGCTGCTTTAAAGCGGCTCCTGCACCGCCGGCACAATGACACGGCTGTGAGACATGTGGCATGAATGGTGCAGCAGGCAGCCTGACACGGCTGCAGGGGGGGTCGCCCCCCCCCCACACACACACACACAGAGTCGTTGCTGCCGGCAGCTCGGCTGTGCAGGAATCCTCAACTCACACAGACAGACTTGGACTCAAACCTGTGATTTCTTCACCACATCAGCTCCGTTTAAATTTAAACGTGTCCCAAAAACAAAGCCATGCGCACTTTTATGACATGTGACCTCCTCCTTCTCCTCAGAAGGAGAAGAAACCACGGAGACTCCGAGAAAAACCAGCGGGACAAACAGCTGCAGCCTCACAGCTGGATGGGACAGCCAGAGGTGGAGGAGGCCCTTCAGATCCTCTTACACACCCCCCCCCAACCGTCACCGTGACCTCCAGTCCATCAACAACAACCCACCCACCCCCCAGGGCCCCGAGAGGAGGAGACGAGCCACATCCAGAGACGGGGACAAACTACAGCAGCGTGAAAACACAGGAGACAAAATATTTCGTTGTACTATTGTACATGTATGTATATATATACACACACATACACTGTGCATGACCGTGCAGAGACAGTAAACAGTTATCTTGTATCTCATCTAATGAAAACAAATGATTTGATTTTCCCGGATTTTGCGTTTGTGAGGCTCAAACGTGTTTCGAGGAAATGAAAGTTTAAATGTTTCAACCAAAATTCACAAAGTGTGACACAAAAACTCAAACAGCCCAAACTCTCTTTCACTTCCGGTCCCTCTCACCTGTCCGTTTGTTTGTTTTCACATAAAATAAACAAACATGGAAATGAACTCCACGGCTCAGCGCGGACCCGCAGGTCTGCGCGCGGGTAACGGTCCTCGTGCCCGGCAGAGCGCAGACCTCCGCCCCGCCCGGAGCAGCGCCTCCCGGTCCCGTCAGAAAGTTTGAGGCCGGCGGGACGCGCCGTGTCCGGGGCCGTGACAATGTGTGAGTCAGTGTGTGAGTCGGTGTGTGTATTCGTACCGTTCTTCCTCCGGGGGTTGGCCTGTTTTCGCCTCTTGCAGCGGGGACCCTCCGCCATGATCTCCGGCTTCATTGATCACTGAGTCCGCGACTCCTGCTGCTCCTGCTGCTCCTGCTGACGGCGGCACAACACACAGTAAATCCCGGAGCAGCAGCTCCTCGCGGACCTCGCGCTCACACTAACGTGCGCACACTTTGCGCTTACTTTCTGGGAGTTTGCGCACCTCCGCCCCGCGTGCCCGTCCGCCTGATCTGAGCGGAGTGTGTGCCGCTGTGACAGAGGAGGAGGAGACACACACACACACACACACACACACACACACACACACACACACACACACACACACACACACAC